TTGGCCGACTCTGAGGATTAATTAGATGATGTATGTCAAGCACTCCCAAGAGGAGTTAGTATTTCACTGGATCATCACAGCATCATGTCATTGTCCAGTCTCTAGAGCTATTAGGAAGCCCTTGTATCCATGAACTTGGAGTTCTCTAAAAAGTAGCTCTACTAAGTCCCCACTCCCACCCCAGCCATACCTAGGATTGAAGGACTCTCTCCTGCCATGGTTCTGAGTGTACAGAACCGCTGAGATGAGCCCGTCTGAAATGAGTAGGCATGCCTACACGCCCAAGTAATCATTCAAGAGCACATCTAACATGTTACCAGAATCCAAATCACAGACCACTGGATTCCAGCTTACGCTTCATGTATTTGTCAGCCTCCAAAGACTTGGTCGTGGGTCTCATTTTGTTACTCGTGGCACACACACAGAGAACATGGAGCATTTAGCAATGGACAATTCTACATGGAGTGTGGATGGGTGTTCGTTGTATTATTTCTAGAACCTGTCTAAATTTGAAATATTTTCAAACAAAAATTTTATTTAAAAATTCACCTTGACTCCTACCTCACTTCATATGCAAAAAGCACTTTCAGATGGACTATAGATCTAAATGTGGAACCTGGAAATAGAAATAAATACAAAACAATAAAACTTCTAGAAGAAAACATAGGATAACACCTTCATGGCCTTGAGGAGGTAAAAATTTCTTCAACAGGACAGACGTGCATTGCAAATAAAGCAGCAATGATAAATCCAGCTCCGTTCAAGTGAAGGACCTCTGCTCAACAGACGCTATCACTAGTAACCTAAAACCTATATAATGTTATTAACCAATGTCACCCCAATGAATTCAATTTTAAAAAAAGAAAGAATTCTTGAAAAAGGAGACTTCGATGAGCTTAAATCCCAGAGTAACAATTACCCTCTGCAAATAAAACAAAAACATTCCCAAGAGGACACAGTCCTTCCAGGTCGGTAAGTACATCCAGGTGGCAGGAGGGAGGTGTACCTCGTTGCCATGAGGACAGAAGCCCCTGCTCTCGAGACCCTCTAGATCCAGCTCTATGTGCCTCTTCATCTGTATCCCTTATAATATATTTTATAATAATCTGGTAAACAAAGAAAAATAAAAAGATATCACTACAAAAGTGGAAAGGCAAGCCACAGAGTGGGAGAAGTTATTTGCAACGTGATTAAGGACTTGTATCCACAGTACTGTACATAAAGAACTCTTACAACTCAATAAAAAAAAAAAAAAAATACAGACACTCCAAAGAATCTGGGCTAAAGACTTGAAAAGGCACTTCACATACTCAAGGATATGCACATGGCCAACAAAAGCATGAAAATGTATTCAATTTAATTATTCATCAGGAAAATAAAAATTAAATACCAGTATCCACCCATCAGAATGGTTTTGTAAAACAAACAATAGCAAAAGTTAGTGAGGCTGTGGAGCAAATAGAACTCATATACACTACTGCTGAATATAAATGTGTATTAACAATTTGGAAACTGGCAATATCTGCTTAAGTGAAACATGTATACCTGTGACCAAATGCATCCTCTCCCTGGTATACACCTAATAAAGATTTGTACGCTTACATACTAAAGACACAGATAAGAATTCCAAAGCAACAGCATTCATAATAGCTAAAAAACTGAAAACAATGCAAATGTCCATTAACAGGAGAATGGATAAGTAAATGGTGGCTCACCAATACAACAGAATACCATTCTGCAATAAAAATGAACAAATGATTGTTTCACACAACATCATCAATAAATCTCATATATTTAATGTTGAGCAAGAAAAGCCAGACACAAAAGTGTACGTGATATATGGTCTCATGTACATAAAATTCAAAAAGAGGCAAAATCGGTCTGTGGTGATGGAGGTTAGAGAACGGAATGTCCTGGGGGGCCAGTGCCTGGGAGGAGGTGGGGCTCCTGAGGACCTGAGAAAGTCTTGTTTCTTGATCTGGGTGCCGGTCACATGGATGTATTTGCTTAATGAAAGCTCACTAACTGCACACTTGGGACTGGTGAACTTTTCTACACTTGCGTTTTACTTCAACAAAGAGTTTACTAAACTCAAAACAAAGAACAACGAAACCAAACCTTGTGTTTAGAATAGAGCCTGACGCACTCATCGTGGTCATGTGAACATATATACATTCTGTGGTTAGTTATGCTTCAGCTGGAGGGCAAGAGCAAAAGAAAAAAGGGAAGCAGGGGGGAGGGGTGATTACCGGGACGTTTGCCCTTGAAGAAGGACCAAACCTTAAATCAAGCTTCCTGTCCCACCGTTCCGCTGTCATCCCATGCGCCGGTGGCCTCCACCCGTCTCCGTCCCTCCCAGCCACCCGCCCTGCGCTCACACAGAGTAAGGGCTCAATACGCAGCCTTAGCATCCTGCAGACCAGAGCTCAGGCATGAGGTCCAGGGAAATGTAGATCCAATGTCAATTGAATAGGTCCCAGAGCATTTAAAATCCGAGTTGTTTGAGAGAGAGGGCTGTGTGGAGGTCGTTGTATTGGAAGTTTTCGTGGGCTTTCCAAATCGCCTGCGACTCTCTTGTGGACTTCGGAAGAGCTGTTGGGGCTTTGCAGGCATATGGGGATTTAACAGTTGAGTGGGTAGGCTTAAGAGTGAGGTGCTTAGCCTGGCTGGTGTGGCTCACTGGTTGAGCATCGACCCATGCACCAAGAGGTCACCAGTTCAATTCACAGTTAGGGCACATGCCCATGTTTTGGGCCAAATCCTCAGTGGAGAGCATGCAGGAGGCGGCCAATTGATGTTCTCACTCATCATTTCTATCTCTCTCTCCCTCTCCCTTCCTCTCTCTAAAATCAATAAAGAAAAAACATTAAAAAACAAAAACAAAAAAAAGAGTGAGGTGTTTAAAAAATCTGCTTCCCTTCCTAGCTGGTGTGGCTTTGTTGGTTGGGTGTATTCCTGGGCACTGAAATGTTGCTGGTTCAATTGCTGGTCAGGGCGCATGCTGGGTTTCAGGCTGAATCCTTGGTGGGGGGGCAGCCAATTGATGTTCTGCTCTCACATAGACGTTTCTCTCTCTTTCCCTTCCTCCCTCCCTCCCACCTTCCTCCTTCTTTCCTCTTTCTCTAGAAATCAATAAAATATCTTTTTTTTTATTCTCACCCGAGGAAAATTTTGCATTTATCTTCAGGTAGAATGAAAGGGAGAGAGGACGGAAGAGAGAGAGAGAAACATCGAAGTAAGAGAGGCACATTACCTGGCTGCCACCCACATGACCCCAACCGGCGCCGGGGACAAACTGCAACCGAGGTACATGCCCTTAGCAGGAACCAAACCCAGGACTCTCTGGTCCAGTTCGCGGGCTGACACTCTAACCGCTGAGCCAAACTGGCCAGGGCTAAAAGATCTTTTTAAAAAATCTGCTTTGCAGTGAGCTGGGATATAATGGTGCTATTATCCTAGGTAAGGATGCCATCAGATGTAGATGGCATACATACTTGGTCACTGAAGAGGTGGAGTCCCCACTCCTGCCCCCTTATCATGCCACCTACATACATGTGTGTATGAAATTGACCTTCCAACCCGAATGAGGAGGAGACAGCCTTCTGGGCCTGATAGAAACTTCCTACTCACTCCCTTCGTTACAAGATGAATTGTGCCCCCACCCCTAACCAAATTCGCATGATGAATTCCTAACCAGGTCCCTCAGAATGTGACTTTATTTGAATATAGAATCTTTAAGTAGGTAATTACATTGAGATGAGATCACCAGGGTGGGCCCTACCAATATGACTGGTGTTTTTATGAGAAGAATAAATTTGGAGACAGACAAGTACAGGGGGAAGACAGTGTGAAGACATAGGGAGAAGACCGCTATCAACAAGTCAAGGAGAGATCTTGGAAGAAACCAACCCTGCCAACACCTTGACCTTGGAACATTAGCTTCCAGTACTGTGAGAAATACGATTCTGTTGTTTAGGTCACCTAGAGCTGCGGTACTTCGCTATGGCAGCTTCAACAGTCATCCGCCGTCCTAGCCTTCATTTCCCCAGGGCGTTGTGCCTCCTCTTAGTCTAATGCATCCCAAATCCATCCTAAGACCAGACTCCCAGGCCGGATCCAGTCCTGGCTGGGTCCTTGCTCTTGCCCTGCAGGTCTTTACCCTGTTCTCCCTCGTCATTCTCCTTCCTGCCCGTGGCTCCCACCTTTCTGTCTGCATCCTGCTTCGCCTGCCTCTTCTGCTCTTTGCCCCTTCTTAGGAAAGCAGCCCCCCCTCCCCCGAGCACCAGACTGATGGTCCTTCCTGCTCCCAGCCCTGGTCCGACAGGCCGCGTGGTGCTGTCGACTTGCTGGGGTCAGAGACAGCGGGAGGAAGGTTAAAGCATTTCAGAAGATGGCCAGGGACTGAGGCCCTTCCTCTCGCCCACCTCCTCCAAGCATTTCCCACAGGCTGATAAATATTGCTATGGTCCAAAACAGAAGGTGCAATTTGGCTCTGTTCTCCGATGTCGCTCTGTGGGTTAGGAAACAGATGGAGGGCTGTCCAACGCGAGCAGAATGCCAGACTCAGAGCGGTCTTCATGCGCCCTGCAACCTGGCACAGGTGAGCTCTGCCCACCCCACCCCAGGGCCAGGGAACTGAAGGACTGTTTGGAGCAGGGGCCATGTGCTGGGATGTTGGACAGAGAGCTCCTCCGTGTGGGAAGCAGGTTTGCGGGTCTGCTCTTTTCACTGGGACCCTATTGATATTTTACGTCCCAATTAGGATTCTTTGGGGGCATTGTTCGCGGAGGAGGAAAACTCGAACTTCCTCCTACTAAGGATCCACGAGATCGTCCCCTGGCTGAGCTCTTGGCTCCTTCTTCACAATAAGAAAAACTTCTGTACGCCTCATCGCCCTTGGAAAACATGGGTATCGGGATGCCACGACTCAGATGGGACTGCAGGCTGAACCTCAGGATTTCCGGGCAGTTTAATCTGGGTAAAGACAAGTTTGGACTCACCTCCTTGCACATCTGCTCCGAGGAGGTGATGACTTTACAGGTGGCAGAAAACAGCACCGCCAGCAGGAGGCCGCGGACGGGGGCGGCCATCACGGGACCAGCGCCACCCCAGCCTGGGGGGCTTGTCCAGCGCCTGGAGCTGAGGAACCGAGTCAGGCTCTGCCAGCCTCGGTAGTTGGCAGCCAGAGGTGTTCAGAAGGGTGATCTCAGAACAAGAAATGCTGGCTGCTCAGCTTTGGGCAGCTCTGTGCTGCAAAAAGAGGAAGTCCCTTTACATGCCACCCACCCTTGCCGAAAATAGCTGAGGACCCAGCCCCAGGGTGGCCGATGCGTTTCCTGGCACACACGAACCAGCCCGACAGCCATCTGGAGCAGCCACACTGGTTCGCAGTGAGATGGGTGCTACTGACTTGAGGCTGCATTCGTGGGATATTATTTATCCCATTTTGGGGGTGGGGCCAACCCCAACAGCTTCTGGTCCCTTTCCTCGAGAGGACCACTTTGCTAGTGGTCCTAGGAGAGTGGCAGGGAGAGGGGCAGGGCAGAGATGGGCATGGCTGGAAGCCCGAGCCCAGCGCTGGTGCTGCTGGAGCTGGGACTGGAGCGAGGGAACAGGTGGTCCTGGAGTGAGTGTAGCTGCCGTCTTGGCCACCCCATCAGTATCCGCCTCTGGTCTCGGTACAGGAGGAGGAGTCCACTCCTCGACCTGGGGACCCAGGCCTGCTGAGGTAGTGTGGTTCCTTCCCCCCACCCAGCAGAGGACACACCATACACAGAGCAGGCTGGCTCAGAGGGAGCAGAGTGGAGGTGTCAGCCTGGGCTCTGCTTCTCCTTACAGACAGCTCTGAAGCTGGATTGCGAATGCCCTCATTACGGTGCAAGATGTGTAGTGATTCAAGACCGTAAAAGCTCAAGCATTTTTCACTGGGCTGAGTCGAGCTACCTCAGACCTTGTCTTTCCCCAGCCCTCCGGCACAGAGGACCTATTTGCATCACTGTCCTCCCATTCCACTTCCAAGGGCCCAATTATTAGCATCCGAGACACAGTGACTTGAGATGCTTCCACGACTACTACCACTGCTGTGTTACTGCCACTAATGCAATAATTATAGTAACTACCGTTTATGGAGGACTTGCTATATGTCTGTCACTGGGCAGGCCTGATTTCTTTTTCCTTGTATATCTCCTTATCACCTCGTCTATCAGAGAGGTGTTATTATTTATCCCATTTTGCAGATGAAGAAACAGACGCCTAGAGAAATGAGCTCTCCAAGCCCAACGTGGAAGGGGTGGATTAGGGCTTAGATCTAGTCTCACGGCAGAGAATGTGCTTTTCGACTCCATAGTTTAAGAAAGAATTGTGTCTCCTGAAGAAGCTGAAGAGTGGATGAGGTGAAGAAAGTTCTTCATGGGAGATCTCAGAGCAGATGCTAAAAAGCAGAAGTGGGTGGAGAAACTCCTTACTGGGCACGGAGGTAGGGCTACTAAATATCTAGACATTTTGGTCACCCCTTCAACAGCAAACCACATCCAAAGATGCTTTTGGAAAAACGCAGTCTAAGCAAATCGAGACGGATGACCAGCCACCTTGCTTTAAAGAGGGCATGCATCATGGTGTCACCTCAAGGAGGCCCAGATCCCTCGCTGATCAACGGAGAGAACCTGGGTGAGTCATTTCCCTTCTCTATTTCCCACCTGAAAAACAGAACAGGAATTCCAGCTCAGGTGCTGCTGACATCACGGGGCTCAAATGAGATATTTTAGTGACAATTCTTTCTTAACCTTCAAGTCCTACATAAATATGAAGACTGTGAGGAAAAGACTCCTCTGAGCAACCACTTCCAATGCCATGTAAATATCATTCTCAGGGAATTGTCTCCTGTCCAGAGACATTGAAAAGGCATATCACTTTCCTTCTTAGAGAAAGGTTTGATGGCTCAGTTAAGGTTTTGTCATTTTCTGAGGCCATGGCATTTGCATATGATTTGCATATGTTTGCATAATGGATTCAAAAGACTTGCTGCAAGTGTATAGGAGTAAAAGAAAATAAATGAATATGAGTAACCTTCTGCCACAGCATTCAAATCAAATATTCAGGGCATAATACCCTGAAATAGGAAATAGATTAAAATTTAAACTACTGCAAACAGATGGGAAGATAGGTTTCAGAGTTCAGAGGCAAGAATGAAACCCTTATTTGGTCCCAGGTTGTAAAGATCACTCTTAAAGGTCATCCCATTCTAATGATTTTCATGCCCAAATTCTCCCCTCCATACCCCTTACTTACTCCACACCGTTCAGTGGACAAAACATCCACACTCCAGTACCCTCTGGTCTTTCCTGAAAGGCCTTGGTGACAGAAAGCTTCTTCCCCCGACACATTGTTTTGGCAAATTTTGACTCTTTGGTTTTATCGTATTCTGAACTGCTAAGAACTTTCTAACTTCCTCGTGATTGTTCTTGTTTCCTCGGGCCAACAGAACAAATTCAAGCCCCTTTTCTACTTGCCAGTCCTACAAGTATTTGAAAATAGTTACCATGTTCCTGCATGACATCCCCTTTTTCTAGGTTAAACATCTCTAGTTCCTCCAACTACATTGTAAAGTTCATGCATAGTCCACAACCATCTGTTTATCTGAGTAGTTTCTAAATCTCCCAAGAAAAGCTGACTTGAATTCTGGCCCTAGTGTTGCTGTTAACTCTGGTGTGTGCTTGGGAAATTTTCTCTGGTCTGTCTTACTTTCCTAGTCTATTGAATGATGGCATTGGACCAACTGATCTATAAGGCACCTCTTCATCTAAAATCCCATGACCGTATTTCAGAACAATGATTTCCGTGCCCGTGGAACAGTCATTGGCTGGAGCCCATGAGATGGAGTTACATTAGCTTTTTGCTGACATTGCTCTTTCTCCCTCCAGGTGGTCTCACCTCTTCTTGGCAAGCAAAACACACAGAGAGAGATTTGGCTGGAGCAATGGGCATCATGACTGCTACAATTCTAATGTATTCACAGTGCCTTTAAGGGCTGGAATTGCCTTCACCCTGTAAAAACAGTTCTTGCAGAGATATGGAGAGGGAAAGAGATGATGAGGTAAGGCACCAGAAACTCATTTATTTCTACTGACCAGTACCCACATCAGAGGAGAAAAGAGATTTGTGGACCCAAGACATTTTCATAAAGTCCTGGTACCCTTATATTACATATTTACACACATATCCCACACTATTCTGTTTTGTTATTCTGCCTTAAAAAAATTTTTTTCCACTAATTTTCACCCAGTAATATTATTCCATTGATTTTTAGATAGAGTAGCAGGGAAGGACTGGGGGAGAGAGAGAGAGAGAGAGAGAGAGAGAGAGAAGCATCAATGTGAGAGAGACACATCAATTGGTTGCCTCCTGCATGAGCGAGACCAGGACAGGGATCAAACCTGCAACCCAGGTACGTGCCCTTGACTGGGAATTGAACCTGTGATCCTTTAGTCCACAGGCTGATGCTCTAACCGCTAAGCCAAACCAGCCGGGGCTTGTTCTGCTTTTTAATCCACCAGGTTTTCGTGCAATTCAGCCCTTGGGTCAGCTGCCACACGCGGGTGACTCCACTGAGCTGCCCACTTTCATGTCTGGGAGGCCTGCACACTCACTTCCCTGTGTTTGCAGGTCCTTATACTCTGGGAGTGATGGAGGTCCTAGGAGAGCTGGTTCTGTTCGGCCTTTTAAGCCTTTTCTATATAGTAAGCCATGGGCTATTTCCTTTCTTTCAAGGGCATGCAGAACAAAATATGTTGTTGTGATCCAACGTGAGCAAAGAACTAGATGTTTAATGTCCATTGCAGCTGATGGGCACCAGTGGTGTTAAGCTGTTCTAGTTGTTTTTTTCTTCCATACATTTAGTTTTTGTTCTGCTTTTCAGTCATGCCTGCTTTCCCTCTGCCCCAGAAGTTAAATATACTTGCGTCTAAAAGTCAACTTCAACTTTGAGTGTTTTAATGCATTTTATGGCCAGTTTTACTCCTGATTGTTATTTCTCCATATTTGTTTGCTTATTTTACCCAGTTATTATGACACAAGGTTCAGAGCCATAAGGCTGGAGATAAAAGCCCTCTCAGGGGGTCCTGCTCCCTCGGGAGGGGTGTGCTGCCTCTGGGCGCATGTCACAGAGCCTCAGGCCCCTTCTCAGGCTGCTGCTGCCTTTGCGGTTTGATGGCCCTTGTGAAGTCACCAGCCAGACAGAGCAAGATGCTGTGCCCCCGGCCCCCTGGGGAGGGGCCTTGGCTCTTCTCACATCCGGCTCAGTTCCCGCTCAGTTGTATGGATGGCTGCACAAGGCCACCCTTGATCCTCACGCTCCGGGACTGCCTGCTTCTCTGCCCTGTGGTCGATGGCACCGCTGCCAACGAAGCAGGCACGGTTTCCTCACAGGACGTGGCCAGCTCCCCACCACGAAAACCACTTCAGAGCCTTCCTGGCTCCTGTACTCAGGGACAGGGGGGCGTCTTCCCCTCCCAGTCCAGAGACAGTCTGCCTGCATGTCCGCCCAGGTTCATCTCTTCCCCAGACGACTGATACTGCAAATACCCGCTCTCTGGGACTCCCACTGTAACCATTTAAAAACTGTCTGATGCTGGAATATTGCCCCATATCTAGGTTTCGCTGTTGCCTGTCGTCATCTGGTTACGTGAAACATTTATGGTTCTGGAAATAAGTGGAACAAGGTAGAATATTTGTCAAGCTTTAACTTCTTATTAACATAAGGACGGTGCCATTCACTAACTTCTTTCCACTGGCGTGTGTTATAACGACGGGCGGTGAGGGCACCCTTGGGGTTTTTCTCTCAAGTCTAAAGGGATGTGATGTAAACAGGCAGTGGATACGGGGACTGGAGAACAGGCCAGGGGCCTGGGATTCGGAGATGAACTCTCAACTCCGAAACAAAGTCGTCCTAATAGTAATACGTTGACATCAGAGAGTTTGAAGCTAAAAATAAGCTTTAAAATAATCTAATCCAACTTTGCCATTTTTCTGAAAGAATGTACAAGAACAACCTGAGTCTACCATTCCCTAGAGTTGAGATGACTCATGTTATCAGCCGTTTGTGTTGAGGCCTTCTGGAAGATTCTCCACATCCTGTTCTTGCCGGCTTTCCACAGTGAGCGCTGCTTGGATGAGCCCCACAGCCGTGCGCGGCGAAGCCCGGGAGGGGAGGATCCTCCGAGCCGGCACGGAGGTAGGCGGCCTC